GGTTGTTGTCTTTGATACTTATTCCTCCCTGTGATTCTGTTGCTCCCTCCATCCCTCCTCTGTCTTAAGACAGCTCGCGCTGAGAAGAATTCTGCTGTGGGATAACTTCATTACAAAACAACCAGGGGAATCGAGGGAGGTTGAAAGAGAGGAAGAGGGGAGAAAGAGAGATGGGAGAGATACGTAGCAGTGTTATGAAGCTGTCTTCCTTTTATGCCTTCATCTCATCTCCCTGCTCTTGTCCTTCACTAATAGAGAGATCATTTGACATTAAATTAGGAGACACTCACCTTCTCAAGGGTACCACAATGACAGAAATCTCAGTTCACTGCTTTAGATAGTGATGTTTAAAAAAGTGATTAAAACTGGAAGCTATTTTGTCATGGTGGGTATTCACAGTTTGTGTATAAGAGACAAGAGAAAGCTGTGAATGTATGCAGAATATGTTACCTTTTTTCTGTGTATTTTTGCAATGATGGCAGCTTCAGTTGCCTCTGGGAAGCTTGAGATGTTCATGATGCAACCAACAACCAAGTGTGTAGTGTTTTTGATATGAGCGAGTTAATTATCTTCTCCAACATTCGTTTTCAGCATGTTTGCCCTCACACCCCCACCCCCATTTTTCTGTTTTTATTGTTCCTTTGTGCCTCCCCCATCCCCCCTCTTAAGGCAACGTGTACTGTAATGATATATAATAGGCAAGAAGAGGAGATGTTTAGCTCAGCCCATTAGGCTATGAAGCATTCATCTCAGTATCATTTAAGTTTCTTTAATTGAATCCCAACAGGCAGAAGTCTGTGAAGTCAGCCTTTGGTTGCTTTATGTGTGTTTGTGTGTGTGTGTGTGTGTGTGTGTGTGTGTGTGTGTGTGTGTGTGTGTGAGAGAGAGAGAAAGAGAGACAGAGAGCACATGCATGTGTCTGTGGGCATGCAGTGTTTTTGTCTTGTAGCTGCAGTGTAATATCCTTCTCTGGCTGCAAGATATTTCTCTCTCAGAAAGATTTTGTAAACAAGAGAAACTTGAAGACACGTTGCCCCAAGGCAGCAAGGCTTTCGTCTTTTGGGGTTCACAATGTCTAGAGTGACAGAGATGGAACGGTACAATGTAGTGTGAAAAGCCCTACATATAGAAAGGGTCTATTTGATTAAAATTAATCTTGTTAAACTGCCTTCTCGCTGTGTCACATTAAAATTACTACTACTGATTTTATCTACATAGAACCAAGCGGTGTAAAACTGTTAACTGTGACTAGACCATGCATGAATTGCAAGATGAAGTAATGTGTAGGAAATTAACATTGTAGATTGATATAGTGCTCTACAACTCCTAGATTCCCAGAGTTGATTCAGACTGTGTTTCTTAATTTGGAGAATCACTAGAATTGATTTATCATGCTTAGAAATTATTACAACAACTGGGAAATATATTTTATACTGCTGTGTGTAATGGCAATAAGGCAAATGCATGCCCTATGATATGCTTTGCCCATATCAGGGATCTTAAAGCATGCAAAAGTACACACGTAACAGTCAGTCCACAGCATTTTACTTTGTGTTTGCCATCTCAAAGTAAAATTCCTGCTACTACTTAGCTCCATCAAAACAAGTTAATCTTTTGTTGACACATTATGTCAGTTTTGGGGGATCACAGCTCGGAGGATTGTGCAATTAAAACCAAAATGCCTCCAGGCTAATCACCTAGAAATGCACAAACTGCATCAAAAACACTCAGCGAGTTTGCAAAAAACAAATGTGGACTGAAAATTCTTTGGTTGCTTTTACTGTCTTAAAAATTCAACATCCAATGATGTTCTTTCTAAAGTGGTCACATGGCGACTTTCCACAAAAGAAATGTGGCAAGGCAGGCAGGTTATTGCATAAACATCCTCTGTCATGGTTTTATAAGTATAATACTTATAGTATAGTATAGTATAGTAATGGTTTATTGGTTTATAAATGTGTCCCTCTGCAGGGTAGATGCCACTATGGCCTACAATAAAGCAAGACCTTGGGGATGGTGGGGATGTGGTGTTTAGCACAAGGACGCTTTAGGAGGGTGGACGCTTCCTGACAAACTGTAAGGGTAGTGTGTTTTCTCTCTGTGTCTTCTTGTTTCTTTTTTCGCCAAGAGTTGCGCCTCCTGCTGTCAAACCTGAACTGCTGTTTGGAAGCCCATTCCATCAATGGGTTCAGATTTGAAAGGGTCACCTCCACGCTATATCACAGAGATGGCATGGGTGCATTACAAAGCTGCAGGGGAGTATTTCACTTTCTTTCTTTCATGTCTCATTGACACGTGCTGCAGAGCAACAAGACGCAGAATCAGGAAGGAAAGCAAACAAAAGAGGGAATGATGGTGGCACCATGAAAGAGACCTTGAGACCAATAATGAAACAGAAAAAGTGAGCTGGGATTACAAACATTTCATTAAAGCAAGGGTACTATTCCAGTTTCCTACATGACATGTGTCCTTGTCTCAATCTCCCGGCTGTCTTGAGCTGGAAATGCACTCATCGAATTTATTTTTTTATTTATTTTATTTTATTCTATTGTTGTGTTTTATTCTATTGTATTTTATTGTATTTAAGTGTACCTGGCTGCTGTGACGACCAAAAATTTCCCTTCGGGGATTATAACAGTCTATCTATCTATCTATCTATCTATCTATCTATCTATCTATCTATCTATCTATCTATCTATCTATCTATCTATCTATCTATCTATCTAAATGGCTCATAATAAGTGAAAATCTGATTTCACAGGAAATAACAACTGTAGTGTTTACAAAAGAGTTAATTTTTTTTTTTTTTACCATTCTACTTTTTTCTCTGCTTCCCCCTGTACTGAACCTTGCGCTAAGCTCCCTGAGAGTTACTGAGTTAACAGGAGAGGAGAGAGAAGCAGGATAAGAGAGGTGGTAATCAAACGCAGGTAATAATGGGTATATGAGGTCTTGTACGAGAGACGGAGGTCCGCAGGAGTTCCTCTGCTTTATTCATCTATCCTCAAAAGTTCTCACATTCAACCTAACTCTCTCACCTCTAAAAGAACACTACCTTTTTTCCTCAACCTTTCCGGAGGGACACCTGATCTCATCCATTACAGCTATTTTTGTTTCTTTTTATGACAAGGTCCAGGATCATTTCTCTCACTCCTTAACCTCTCACTAACACTTTACACTATTTTTATATCACCTTTTATATCACCATTTTCACATTTACATATATTATTTAGAGCTCACTCAGTACTTGGGTGCAGGAAACTGGAAAGATGTGCCAACACAGAAATAATTCTACTGCTTTTGTCTCTTCGCTTTGATTCAGATTTTTTTTCTTTCTCCATTTTGTGATTGACATGCCAGGACTGTGTAAACTCATCAGTAGAGGAGGAATGGATTTTGACTACCAACGTGTGTGTGTGTGTGTGTGTGTGTGTGTGTGTGTGTGTGTGTGTGTGTGTGTGTTTGTATGAAAGAAGCAGAAAAATCTGAAGGCAACTGCCTCCTTTAGCAAAACATCAGAAAATTGACTCCTTTTTCAGTAATCCTATATATTTGATATTTGTGCCCATTATCCATATTTCATTTAATAAAATCTGGAAGTATTATTTAGTTAGATTAGTTATAGAAAAGGTAGAGAATCAAGGTTTCTCTGTTTTGCCTCAAAATTTTCCTACCCAGCATGCCTATTTAGTTAAAGGGTTTAAGTGCTGTTCTTCCTCTGTGGTCTGTATAGACTGTTGAAAGGCGCTGGCACTTGAAAACAGACAGGGCCATTAAGGTGCTTTCATCGTCTCCACAACCGGTATTTGCCCGATGCATATTCAGCTACAGAATAGCAATGACTGGGCTGATTCACTTAAGATAATTAAGTGAAGTGGATTGTGTTGTCATTTCAGCCATCCCTTGTCTTCTCCATGCCGCGTTTTTTCTTTTTTTTTTTGTTTTGGCGAACCTTCCGGAGGACCAATTAGGCTGGTGATCCACTGAACAACACAGACAGCGTCCCCCCCCCTTCCCCTTCCTGCCTCTTAATGGGAAAAAATTTATGTTTTGGATGATGCTTTTTGAATGTCTGAAGAAAACTTAGGAGGTTACCATGGAGATTAAGGCTGCATCTATAACATCCATATGTCCTGGAAATCACATTGTGTAGAATACCATGTGACATTCCTGCATTGCAAAAAAAAAAAAAACACCTTATTATGTAGCCAGGTACATTTATTTTCCACCCATTCCTCTCTCCCTCTTTTCCTTGACTAATTCTGCCCCCTACTGGGTCTAGTCCTTTGTTCTTTTATTTATTCAATATTATTCTAATTTTTTACTTTACAGCACAATAAGCAGCTGTTAGGTATAGCTTTCAATATGCAACCTTGTCTTTAACAAGATTTCATGTCCTCATTCAGGGAAGCGTAGCTGCAGAATGTGCTGCTCACATTCAGAGTGTCTTTCCAGTGTCATATTCAGTGAGGACGTAGCCATCTGTTGTGACTTCACATGCGATGTGATTTCACAGGCTGCTTTTACTGCCTGAAACTACCCTGGCCTCCTCAGCCTGTCTTTATGAGACACATCAAGGACAACTAGCTAGTAAAGTGTGTTTGTGAAGATGTGTGTGTGTGTGCTTGTGAAGGGAGAGTTTTGTATGAGAGAGGGGGGAAGAGAGAGAGGCCACTATCTAATGCCCTGCAACAAAGGCTGCTCCTGTTAAATCACCCAGCTGAATACGCGTAAACACTGAAATGTATCATTTGCAGAGGTAGGCAGAGACATGCCACCATTACTCCGTTCCAGCTACTTGACTAGATTTTTCAAATATTTGTCCTCTAAATTGCTTCACTGGACTATTTGCTGTGCTTATTCAAGTATATATTGAAATAAACTGCTTTGCGATGTGTATTCTTCTGCCGTAGCATTCATTCTAGGTAAAACATTGATAAACATTCTTGCATCTCACAAAGATTTAGTGACAGGTGCTCAGGATAACACAAATACCACACTTTCAATAACCTGTGTTAATTTAATTTTGAATAATTAGGGTTACAGCAATAACAGCAATTTCTGTCACATCACGCTCTTATTGTAAAGATGCAGGTTGAAACTTGTAACTGACAATAGTTAAAGTAGAAGTTGGATGGAGACACAATCTAGAAATAAAGCAATTTTTCTTTAGCAAATTATGATGTAAGTTCTTTTTAAACCCCAGGAGCCGACTAAAATGGCATCCATAATTGACAGAGGTATGTCAGTGCTCAAGAAATCTGAAGATGATTACAGCCTAAAAATCCCATTAAGAACTGAATTGAATAGAATTGAAGCAACTTGGCATAAGACTAGCCCCTCTGCTGACATTTTCACTCTGATGTTCATACCATGTTCACATCATATCGAATTTACCATAAATATGAGCAGCCAACAGGGAAAAAATGGGCATGTCAGCCTCCTAGTGCTAATTACAAGCAGGATGTGTGGGAATTTTTGTTGGCTCCAATATCTCCCACTTGGCATCACAAATTGCAAAAAGCTTGTCAGCTGGCAAACGCAGCAATAAACCCACTGATGTCAGCAGTCCAAGGTAATGCAAATTGAAATGATCAGTTGTCATCACAATTTGTTTGTGTTGGACTTCAAATTCAGACATAAACCGTGTTGGATTCAGTCAGTCCAAAGAGATCCTTTCAATAAGACATTAACAAACAGAGAGGCCAACTTAAAAAAAATAAATAAATAATTGTCAGCCAGAATTAAAGAAACGGGGCAGTTTTACCTTGGGCATTAGCTATTGATTAGGTTTGAGTTTACTGCTTGGGGAAATCTTGCTCCTTAATTGTTTCCATTACAGAACTGCTCCCTACTTGCTGATCATGTCTAACTAGTACAGACCAACGCAAACTTTCCATTCACACAACTGAAGGAAATGAAAAGCCCGTTTTTACCTTCCTGTCACGTCACTCGTCACCTCAAGTCACACATGTAGCACGTAACAGGACATTGTCCATGTCAGACGCATTCTCAGCCACTACTCCGTTTAGCTCAAGTGAGGGGGGCTCATGGGTAGAGTGGGAAGGAGGAGGAGGACTCATCCATAATGATGACGGTAAAGTCTGTTTAATGTCCGTTCCAACTTATTCGGACATTTACTTTTTTACATACAGCTCCTCTGCATAATGTCAAGATAAGTTCAGGGTTGCAGTGCATGTGTCAAAGGGACTCTCCCTGAGATACCCTCCATTTGCATATTTAAACTCAACAAAGCTGCACTGTAAACAAAAAAACACACAACCCAATTACAATTAACCAAGGAACACTTACCTGCACCCTTCAGATCGTGCAATATACCAGCAAATCAGCTCTGACACATGCCTCATGGATGCTAAATGGTTTTGATGTCAGCTGCATTTACAATGCTGCATCTCTTGTACCTCACCCAGGACAGCTTCAGAATCAACCCCCTGGACAGTGGTTGGATTGTTCTGACAACATTTATTTATTATTTATATAAATGCAATTACCTGTGTATGCTAGATATTTTTTTGTTTTCCATCATTTAATCCCACACATTATCATGGGTTAGATACCTCTTTCACTCATCCTTGTGTGTTTTAGACTTCCTTTGACTCTGCAGGGATCCAGTTCCACATTTCCTCTCACTTGTGGGACTCCAGAGGCTATTTTCAGCCCTGGTGATGAACAAAACACAACCAGAGAGAGAAGAGCCGACTGAGGGAGGAATCTGCAAAAAACAAACCTTAATGAAAGTGACAATACCCTTAAAAACACGGTCCCTTTAATATCATGATATGATGTTCGAATAATCCTCTTTATGTTTTTGCTACCTTGGTTAGGTTTTAGGCAACATAACTTTATTTGTTATTGTTTGGGTTAAAATAAGTGTTACATAACTGCATTTATGTTAGATATGTGACGTAAGTTGCGAATGTTAACTTAGTTTACTTACATTAACTTAACATAAGTCAGTGTTAAGTTTTTTTTTTCACACAGGACACAAACACTGATCAGCAATGTGACTTAAAGACCTCTGTCAGTAGAGTTACTCTCTGTTCGCATTTGCTAGTTCTTCAGTGTTTATAAGGTCTTTGAGAGTAAGGCCTGTTTTATCGTCTGTATTGATTTGGCACTTAATCATCTCTGTTGGAAGGTAATTCATATAGACGCAGAACCAGAAGCGTAACATATCTGTGATTGGCCCCGGCGCAAATATTTTTCTTGTGCCCCCCACCACCTGGCCCCAGAAAGCACGCTCCTGTACACACGGGCACCACACAACAACTCCACGCAATTGCAGACCTGCAGTCTTCGAACAGCGACGCACATCTAACAGCCTGCCCTGGACTCAACAAACTGAAATAGCTTTAGCCAGCCTACAGTAACAAATCAACACAAAGTAGCCTTACATAGTATGTCAATAACCACAGAACAAATAGCGACCAAGAAAAGCACAGCAACTCATTACAGGCCTACGCAGTATGAATGAATGGATGAAGGCGTCTGATCACACAATTGCCTTCATAAACAATTCATTAATCATCATTCATCATCAGTGACACAGCGGCCAAATGTTCTCACAGACACAGATTACAGTTAGTGCATATTTTCTGAAATTTGAGATATAATTTAAATCCCTGATCACACTGCATAACAAAGAAACACCTGTACTCACCCATTAGAAGTTCATCCTACGGGCCTTTCGCTCAGCAAAGTCATTAACAACACTGCTCAAGTCCAAATTCCTTGCTCTACTGTTCTCTACTGAGAGTTTAACCAATCCACTGAGTCTTTCTTGTCCCATGCTGCTCACACTACTAGTCACAGCTGAAAGCAGTATGTAAAGGTGCAAAAAGGCCCACCCACAGACACTAGGCAATCACTGTCCCTTGTGGGCCCTTATAATCAGCTGGGTCCCGGTGGACCGACTGCACTGTTGGTACACCACTGTGCAGAGCAATACATGTTTATGTTTTACTTCCCTGTGGCAAACCGAAACTGTATGGGGACATATGGACTACATCCGTGTAGACAGGATTCAAGCAGTTTCATTGTAACAGTGTCAAAGTGGAGCTGAAATGAGGGAAGAGAGAGATGGGGGATGAAATGCAACAAAGGTCTCTGGCTGACTGCAAACCAGGAACGCTGCTGTTAATGGTTGGCACCTTAACCCCTAGGCCATCAGGGCAACCACCTTTTATCCCCAGCAGATCATCCACATTCATACATATAGAGTTTTCCACCTATAGTAGCAATATATGCATGCATGCTAACCTGTGAAATGATGCGGAAACAGAGACAAAGTAGTTTGGTAACTCACTGTCAAAATATATGATTTTCATTTAATATTCCGTCTGTCATCTATTTTGTTTGGGAATGCTGTAAAATTAGGTATTTAACTCAAATCCTCAAATCCATTAATTTGTCACCCTTGATCACCCCCGGCTTGTGCACAGATTCAAAGGGATGAAAGGACAGCTATGGGACATGGGAATGTTGTCTATATGTTGACCGACAGGAGACGGAGCATTTCTCATTTTTGTCAGCAGTTGCTGTAAGTTCTCTGTTCACACTTCATGTATTTGTCATGCTTGACTGCTGATAGATGTAATCACCACTGAAGGAAATAATAACTGCTAAAAAAAATCCCTCATTACATTAATTGGCAGTACTTGTAATGAATTGTGGTGCATTACAAAATGATTATAAGCATTTCAAAAGCATAATCATCACAATTAACTCAAGAAATTATCAAATATCATCAAGATAAACATCAGAAATTTTCACTTAATAAGATGTTAGCCTCTAATTAGCCATATAATTGCTTCATATTAGTTCCTCACCTCTATGAAAGATATACTGTAGGGTTTGCCAAAACAAATCCTAAAACATTTCAATCATCTATTCAAAGATGCACCATCAGTATACAGAATCAGTATTTAAAGGCCCAGTGTATAACACTGAATCTATTATCAGAAATGGAATATAATATGCACAACAAAATCCCCTGAAAGTAAGAATCATCGCATTTTTGTTACCTTAGAATGAGTCGGTTTTATCTACAGACGTCACGGGAGTAGCCCAGTAAAGCCAACCTAAGCACTGACTCTAGATAGGGCGATTTGCCATAGTTTCTCCTTTACGCTTGGAGGGGAAGGGTGGTGTGAGGGAGTTGCAATCTACAACTGCAACTACACCACTAGACGTCACTAAATCCTCACACTGGTTCTTTAACTAAAGAAGCGTTTTGATGTTAAAACATCTTTGCCATTTAATCCTGGAAATGGAAAAAATGTGTAGGCCCCAGCCTTTTGTTGGATGGAAAAAGAAATGCACACAAACCTGAGCTGTCTGATCTTGCTGCCTCCTGCCATTGAGTGCAGCCTTCAGCTTCACAAAATGATTCAACTCATCAGACACACTTCAGGTGGGGGGAGGGAGTGCTACCTCAGCTTCATGGGTGAGTCAGAATTTGTGTGCATGTTTATGTTCCTGGTGGGTAAGTATTTATTTGTGCTTTACTTTGTGTGACTACTTCCACCTTTCATCGCTTACAAGAGCCCAGACTTAGTGTCTGTTTGGGTGGTTCTGCTTTGTTTTTGTGTGTCTGATCTGTCTGGCTCACAGAACTGAAAAGGTTTTTTTAGGTGTGGGGGGGTCGTGCTAAGGTCTCCCTAAACACACAACACCAAGAAAGTCTCTCTTTGGTTCAAGCTCTCTCTCTTTCTCTCTCCCCCTCTCTCTCACATCCCTTTTTGTTGGTCTCTGTAAATATCTGTTCAGTCTGACTGTACCTGCCTGACCTTGATGGTGAACTCTCTAGCACTGACTGAGAATTAGAGGTGGCTGCGGAAAAGGGGAAGCAAAAAGCAGCCGAATACTGAGCTGTGCACATTTAACCAGGGCAAGTTTTTCCAGTCGCTCTCTCTCTCTGCAATAATCCAACAAGCACTTAATACAGCACACAAATAAACATATAAAAAAACATTTCCTTGGTCGCAGGAACATACACTAGAATAGATAGCTATGATCTAAACTAGAGCCCTACACAACAATGGCACTGCTCACTGCTTTGGGAAGATAAACCTGGTAAACGACGGGGCATGTCAAGTCCATACTTGTCATCTGTAGTTTACTAAACATGAAAAAAGAGGTGTTAACATGATATCAACATGAACGCTACATGCTGTCAGATTGTTAGTGGATCAGTTAGTAATGTTCCAACACACTGGGATTGGTTCAACTAGTGATGCTGTCACATTTAATAAGATTTGAGCCTGTAGGGGCTCATCAGAGTGACTAGTGAGATGTTACCATAGATACAGTAGATATTATGATGATAAAAGCTTTACTCATACACCATTTAGTACGTTCCAAGCTCTATTTGAGCAGGGAAGGAATATTTTTTTAAACCAACGGGGACAGAGGACTGACATATACATGTGCCAATTGAAGAGCAAAAGGCTTATATTCGGGGTTAGGATGTATGATTTCCCCACAGGGAGCTTACTTTGTAACTGACCATGAGTACCATGTGTAAGAAAATGTAAGACTAAATATTTTTACATGTCAACTGAGATAGTGGTAGTAACACCCTCCTGTTTGTCTCTGACAAGCATATTTAATACACTGCACATTATTTGTGCTGGCACACAAAACACTAGTGACTCAATGCCCTATCCACCATCATGCCCACAGTTCAATTCGTATTGAACCCTCTGTCAAAAAACCTTAGACATTCATTTTGGACACTGATGCTCACTGAATGATTAATCTACAGTCTTATATATTCTAGCCATGTTGTCATCAGTTGATGCTGGCAGTGATGATGTCTGCTTTAGCCTTAGATAACTATTTTGCAATCTATTTTGTATAATTTCTAAGAAATTATGACTAATAAAGTAACAGGAGGGAATATCTTTGCACTGACATCTGAATGAAAGGGTCCTCTTGTTCCTGCTGGGAGGGTCAATGTGCACTCCAAATATTATGCCGTTCAAGCCGTCAACGTTTGATATATCGTGGTCAAGACAAACAAAAAAAATCGATGATGACACATTTGTGTTATATCAACCAAAATGCTAATATTGCAGCATTTAACTCCTTGAAGGTTCTATATGTAACTTTCAGAAAAATATTTAGAAAAACGTTATCTGTCTATCTACCTTAAATGTTACTATCATAAAACATTTAAATAAAAAAATAGGAACCTTTAAAAGTTGGATGGCATTGAAGGGGGCCAGGTAAAAAAAATTTAGTGACCTAGAACATGTAATACCTGTGATGTGTATGCAGAAGGTTAGGCTACTTCAGTTTACATTTGTCCTCTCCCAACACTGTTCCTGACAGCTCTGCAGAAAGTTTGAAGGGTTTCAAAGACGTTTAAAGGTAGAGAAAAAATTACTTTTTTACATTTTTGTACTGAGCTGCTGTTTGTTCGATATAGAGATGGAAGAAGTCACGCAGGCAGTCAGTGTTCTCTTGCTTTGACGTTATCAACTTAATACATTTGTTCGTTTATTTGACTTCAGTCTTTTGTAGTTGCTTCTGTGCCAATCGTTATTTCTCTCACTCTCACACTCTCTCTGACACGCAGACACACAGCTGTCTATGAGTCCCTAGAGACCAATTTGCTCCTGCAGCTGGCATACTGTAGGTGGTACAGGCCATGGGGCATTTACCCATTTACCAAAGTAATGAGGCTTACTACTATTCATGGATCTCTTACTCCTCCGCTTTAAAAAAGCTGAATGCTCCCCCACTTTCTCCCACACACAGTGAAGAAAAGTTTTTTTGTTGACTTTGGCTCAACCTTAGTCGAATTATTCCTATAGCACAAAATGAAACTGGAATTGACTGCAATTTAGCACGCTTCCAAGGCAAAATTAGTCCTAAAGGAACAACAGGGCTGTTGCGGGGCAAGAGCAACAACGCTATGGCAGTCTTGGACGCCACACAAGCACATCTATGTGTAACAAAACAGCCACCACTGAAAAGATGTAGTAGAGCAAATACATAACCTGAGGGAAGCAACAATGTGTGCCAAAGAGGATTCACAAGCTGTGCAGCCCCAATAAATGAGCATCGAAAGCACAGAGAGGAAGATTAGTGTTACCTGAAAGACTGCAGTAATTGTAGATTGCTGAGATCCCACCTGTTTCCATAAGGCCTACTTTCTCTGACTTATCCTGCTAGGATGCAGTTTTGCCATGCAGCTCACAGTAAACACAAATCTTTTACTGTTGGGACTGATAACAATCAACAACAATTGTTTGCATCCATTCTGGAGCAGCTTCCTCCTGTGGAACTATTGATGGGCCCTTGACATAAGTGGAGGTGGCGAGGTAGAGGGTCACTGTACACTGCACTGCAGACACTGACATTTAAACTAGCACAAACACCCCTCAGCTGGCAACTGGTTGACAGAAAAGCTTGTGCACATAACATAATGGACTAGATAATAATTAAGAGGTGGAGACGAGGCGTGATGAGGAAATTAGAGTGATAATTGTCTTCCTGCTTGAACTTCAGATAAAAGCTTTTCATCTTAGAGAACAACATGAACAAGTTCAAGTTCATTTTTTACCCAAGAGGGCAATTTTAGGTGCACATAAAAATACCGAGATAAAAACAGCACATATGGCACATCAAAGAAAACATACCGGTAATAAGATAATAATGCCTAGGAATATGGCACATTAAAAGCATCAAGCATGAGGACGCATACATAGAACATTAAAATGCATACACAATGCTAACAACAGACAATAGTGGACATCACACCCATCACAAC